ACAAGTATGTCGGCTACTACTATCCGAAGCCGACGGCGGTCGAGACCTACGCCTCGCCGATGCAGACGATCGCCGGCGCCGAGCGCGCGCAGCGCGTGCAGTTCGCCACGGTCGTGTCGCAGGGCACCATCCAGTCGGCCTATCGCGTTCCCTACTCGGTGTTCGTGAAGGGCGAGAAGGCCGACAAGATGATCATCGTCGGCCTGCAGCCCGGCGAGATGAGCACGATTTTCCGCGCGCGCGCGATCCTCGCGAACATGACCACCATGTCGCGCCTGTCGCCCTTCTTCCAGGAGCGCACGATCGCCGAGGACGCGAACTTCTTCGACCTTCTGAAGCTGCTCGGCTTCCAGCAGATCACGATCAGCGACGGCGACAAGTTCACCCATCAGGTGAATATCAAGTAGGGCGCGCCTAGGCGCGCCGGCGGGTTGGCGCACCTCTATCTTTTCTGCGCCAGTCGCTCCGCTCGCGGAGCGACTTAAATAGCGTTCATACCGCCGTCGATCACCAGTTCGGCGCCGGTCATGAAGCGGGACTCATCCGAAATCAGGTAGAGCACGCCGTAGGCAATGTCCTCCGGCGTGCCGAAATGGCCGACCGGCACGCGCTGGCGCGTGCGTTCGCGCGCCTTCTCGCTGGGCAGGATGTGCTCGCCCATCGGTGTCATGATGATGCCGGGATGGACCGAGTTGCAGCGCACCTTGTAGCCCTTGCGCGCGCAATCCATCGCCACCGTCTTGGTGAACTGCCGCACCGCGCCCTTGCTGGCGCCGTAGGCCGAAAGATCGGGCGTGCCGAGGAAGGCCGCCAGCGAGGACATGTTCACGATCGAGCCGCCGCCCGAGGAGCGGAGCGCCGGCACGCCGTACTTGCAGCCAAGGACACGCCCTCGACGTTGATCGACAGGATGCGGCGCCACTGGTCGAGGCTCTCGCCCTCGAAAGCCGACGGAAATGGCCCGGAGATGCCCGCATTGTTCACGAGCCCGTTCAGCCGGCCTTCGCGCGCCATTATGTCTTCGATGATTCGCTTCCAGTCGGCTTCCT